AGAAGGTGATGATTTGGATGGAGATAACCACAGTTGGCAATGGAGGTCTGGGGTTTCCCTCCTGGATCTGGATGGGGAGCTAGCTGCAGAGGTAGGGAAAGAGAGAGAGAAAAGCAGCAAGCATCTACTCCCGTCCCAGGTTTCAGCACCAAAATGTGAGGTTGACCGAAAGGATGGAGAGGCAGATGCTGGGTCAGGTTTAGCAAGTTTATTTTAACCTGCCAGGCTGGCTGCCTCACCACAGGCAGTGAAGACAGCAGCCTGACTTAAAGACTATGGGGGTCATATAGGGGGTTTGCAGGTAGCCAGGTACTATTCTAAGAAAAACCACATCTTGGTTCTCAGGGGCTGACATTCTCCTTAAGTGGGTCAGCATCCTGATTTTGAGAGCCAGTTGCGACCACATCCTGGAACCTAGGTGCCCTATTTATAAGGCTTGAGGCTGTTTTTGTTATGAGCTTGGCTTAGCAGGGGAGAACATGGAGGGGGTCTATGGGCTTGCCTTGCTATGACCCTAACAAGCACAACTTGTCTATCCATTCTGATGTTGATGGGCATTTACATACTTTTTAGTTTTGAATAAAGCTACCGTGAACATTATCCTACCTTTTTTTTTTTTTTTTTTTTTTTGAGGAATCTCGCTCTGTTGCCCAGGCTGGAGTGCAGTGGCATGATCTCGGCTCACCATAACCTCTTCCTCCTGGGTTTAAGGTATTCTCCTGCCTCAGCCTCCCAAGTAGCTGGGACTACAGGTATATGCCACCATGCCTGGCTAATTTTTGTATTTTTAGTAGAGACGGGGTTTCACTATGTTGGCCAGGCTGGTCTCGAACTCTTGACCACGTGATCCACCGATCTTGTCCTCCCAAAGTGCTGGGATTACACATGTGAGCCACCATGCCTGGCCTCTATCATATCTTTTAGCAAACATATATTCATATTTATCTTGAGTGAGAGAGACCTGGAGTCAAATAGCAGGGTCATAGGATATTGCATGTATTCACCATTAATGGGTACTACCAAACAGTTTTCCAAAGTGTATGTAATAGTTTATGCTCCTAACAAGCAATCTGAGTTTCCGGCTGCTCCACATTCTTGCCCACTCTTGTTTATTTCCTATCTTTTTCATTTGACCATTTCTGGTGGGATTATCTTATTATTGTAGATATGGAGGATTATGTTGAGGATTATATTATTGTAGTTTAACTTCTATTTGCTTGCTAACTGGTGAAGTTGAGCATCTTTTTATAAGCTTATTTGTTATTTGGATATTTTCTTTGTGAAATGTCTGTTCCTTTTGCTCTTTTTCTATTGCTCTTATTGATTTCTAGACATTCTTGATATATTTGAGATATTAATCATTTGTCAAATATAGGTATTACAGTTACCTTCTCCCACTGTAGGATTTGCCTTTATATTTTTAATTTTATCTTCTGATAAGCACAAGTCCTTAAAAAATTAAGAACTTGGTCCAATTTAGGTATCCTTTATTCTACCAGATATCAGGACTTAATATGAAGCACATTTAATTAAGACTATAACACTGGTCCAAGAATAGACAAATAAACCAATGGAAATACAGAGTTCAGGAATGGACCCCCATATATATGGTCACAAGGAGACACTACAGAGCAGTGGAGAAAGCATAGTCTTTTCTTTTTTTCTTTTGGAGACAAAGTCTCACTCTGTCCTCCTAGGCTGGAGTACAGTGGCAAGATCTCAGGTCACTGCAACCTTCACCTCCTGGGTTCAAGCAATTCTCCTGCTTCAGTCTCCTGAGTAGCTGGGATTACAGGCGCCTGCCACCACACCCAGCTAATTTTTGTATTTTTAGTAGAGATAGGGTTTTGTTATGTTAGCCAGTCTGGTCTTGAACTCCTAAGCTCAGGTGATCCACCCACCTTGGTCTCCCAAAGTGCTGGGATTACGGATGTGAGCCGCTGGTCCCAGCCATGGGTAGACTTTTCAATAAATGGTGCTGGATCATCTTTCTTCCATATAAAAGAAATGAATCTTGACTCCAACACATATTACATGCTAAAATCCTTCCCAGATGGACTGTGTTTCTAAATGTGAAAGCTAAAACAGAAAAACTTTTACATGACCCTGAGGTAGGCGAAGGTTTCCTAACAAGACATAATGTATGCCAACCATAAAGGAAAGAATGATCAATGCTATGGTGTGTTTCTATCAGGTGCTTCATTTCACATCTTCAACTCATTTCAATTTCTTTGCATTATAACATACTTGATTTTATGCATCCTATTATTTTTCGCCCTTTTTTCTCCTATATTTTTTGTTTGCTATTTATTTTAGTTGATTAATATTTCTTCTCTTTCCCTTTTCCTATTTTTGGTTGCATGGTCATGTTTCTTTTCTTTAATTTTCTTTTTTTTTTTTTTTTGAGACAGTCTCACTCTGTCCCCCCAGGCTGGAGTGCAGTGACGAGATCTCAGCTCACTGCAACCGCCTCCCAGGTTCAAGCAATTCTCATGCATTAGCCTCCTGAGTAGCTGGGATTACAGGCGTCTGCCACCATGCCTGGCTAATTTTTATATTTTTAGTAGAGATGAGGTTTCACCATATTGGCCAGGCTGGTGTCAAACTCCTGACCTCAGGTGATCCACCTGCCTCGCCTCCCAAAGTGCTGGGATTGCGGGTGTGAGCCATTGCGCGCGGCCAGCCATGTTTCTCTTAATCCCCTTTTAGGTTTTTATAATTTTTGAATTTTGATTGTTTGGAATTTCGATTAGTTTTTAATCCATTTCTGCTAGTAGTTGCCTTTACCTTCCTTACAAATGTGTTTGTTTGTATTTTCTGTATTACTAAATCCAAATAATATTGTACCAATATCTGCCCATGGAGATTTGTAATTTGCCTTCTCATTTCACTCAGTAAATTTTCTCAGGGAGTTTTTGTTTGTTTGTTTGAGACGGAGTCTCGCTCTGTCTCCCAGGCTGGAGTGCAGTGGCGCAGTCTTGGCTCACTGCAACCTCCGCCTCCCAGGTTCAAGCGATTCTCCTGCCTCAGCCTCCTGAGTAGCTGGGACTACAGGCGCGTGACACCACGCCCAGCAATTTTTTTGTATTTTTAGTAGAGACTGAGCTTCACTGTATTAGCCAGGATGATCTCAATCTCCTGACCTCATGATCCACCCGCCTCAGCCTCCCAAAGTGCTGGAATTATAGGCTTGAGCCACCATGCCTGGCCAGCGAATTTTTTAATTTCCACCTAGTAATAGTAACACCCTTATTTACTACAAATGCCCAATTACGTTGTTTTCCTTTATGCAGATATAATTATATATCAATTGCAAGAATCCTATCTCAAAACTGCTTTCCTCCTATTTTGAGGTTTCTGTGTCTGTTCCGTTTACCATTGTTTACCAGGTGTCCCCAAACTTTTTACACAGGGGGCCAGTTCACTGTCCGTCAGACCGTTGGAGGGCCGCCACATACTGTGCTCCTCTCACTGACCACCAATGAAAGAGGTGCCCCTTCCTGAAGTGCGGCGGAGCGGGGGGAGGGGGGGATAAATGGCCTCAGGGGGCCGCATGCGGCCCGCAGGCCGTAGTTTGGGGACGCCTGGTTTAGACTATTCCCTTGAGTGTTCTCCTTAGATTGGAATATTGGCATAAAATGCTAGAAATGCTTTTATGTCTAAAATTGTCTTTCTTTTGCTCTGACAAAAGAATGGTATCTAGCTAGGGTGGGTTTAGAATTCTTGAATCTCAACCCTTCTCTCTCAATAGTTTGTAGAGTTTTCTGTTGTTGCAAATAAATCTAGTGCCATTGTGATCTTTTATTCTTGTAAATAACGTGTTGGTTCTTCCTGGAAGTGTTGAACCTGAGGTCATCGATTCAGCCCATGAGAGTTTATTGATTGGGGTGCTAAGGTGATGAATGATTGCAAGTCTGGGATTCACAAGGAATTACAGGTCAGTTTTGGGGGGGCCTTTAACAGTCCTGGATTGGGGCCTGTGGACATTGGTTATGGCAGTACTATATGAGTTGCTGTGTGATGGACTGGAACTTCTGTTACTGAAAGTTTTATGGGAGTCATTGATCTATTGACGGTGAGCTGCCTGGGTTGGTGATAATTTAAGGAGCCTGTGGAAACCCGTTGATGACACCATTTAGGGCACAGTTTTTGTCAAGCAGTGTGGGCTATAGGGATTTAGGAGCCTGTGCAGACCTGTTGGTTTGCAGGGCCTGATGGGAATTGCAGAGGAGAAGGGACAAGTTTAAGTTTTCATCTTTGACAGAAGAGGGTGGGCTCTATCCTTTGCACAGAATGTACACTGAATTACACAGAGGCTCAGTTTATGCTGAAGTGTCACGGTCACCCCTTAGCAAGGGCACTTTGAAGGTAGCAGGAACCACAGTGTTCATTGTGATTCTGCCATGTATAGAGTACCAGTTGCCTCAGTAGTTAAGAAAGTGTACTTAGGAGCCAGGCATACCTGAGTTTGAATCCCTGCACTTCCCCCTAATCTGAGTGATCTTGGGGCAAATTTCTTAATATTTCTGAACAGCTCTATCTGATGGCAAATGGGATTAGTAATAACAGTAATGCCTAGTTCACAGGCTGAGTGTGAAAATTAAATGAGGTACCTAATAAAACGTGCCTTGCACCTTGTAATAATAGCACTGTTTAATATGAGTTGAGCATGTTCTGGGTACCAGCTAGGTGTGTGTAGAAGCATCATTTCATTTAATTCTAACAACCCTATGACATAGGTATTTTCATCCTGTTTTAAGATGAAGAAACTTCAGTAAAGTGACTTCCCCAGATTCTAGCTAGAACACAGAAGAGCTTGAATACAAACCCTCATTGATTTTATACCAGATCTTGTGAATTTTCCTCATGTTTTGCTTTAATACTTGGTGTGGGTTTTACCAAACTTGCAGCATCCAGCACAGTGAGTGGCCCCTGGGCACCCCCAGAAACCATTTGTGGGTGAATGTGGAGTGATGACCATGTGGACACTGTCTTTCCAGGGTTTCTTGGAACCTCTGCAGAGTCTGGAGGCCAGGCTCCTCAGTGGAAACTGCAGGATATTCCTTCTGACCCCTGCTCGCCTCGCCCCAGCAGCTCTGGTTGAGTCCACAGATGCCAGCTTGGCTTCCAGCTTGGGAAAGAGTTGGGTTGTCAGCAGGAGAGCCTGAAGGCTGAGGCTCAGCGTGAACATGGCAGCTAATGGGGACTCTTCCCCATGGTCCCTGGCCCTGGCTACAGAGGGACGTGGCAGCTCATGTGAGGTGAGGAGGGAGAGGACCCCGGAGGCAAGAATTCATTCAGTGAGGACATACCCTGACCTGTCAAGAGGGCCTAAGGGCAGGAGCAGGTGAGTCAGAGGAAGCGGCAGATGCAGGACCTGCTGCGCTGGAGACAGATAGGGTTCTCCCGCTGAGAGTGAGCACCCCTTGGCTGATGTGGCCACATCCAGAGCCCTGCATGTTTCAGTGGCCAGTGCAATGTGACTGATTACACTGGAGGAGAGGGAGGATGTGGAAAGTGAACCCCACAGCCTAGGGAGTGGGGACAGCTCCCCGCAGGGTAGCTGAGGCAAGGTCCAGGTGGAAGTGGCCATCCATCCATTGCCAGTGAGACTCCATCCCCCACCCCAGCACCAACCCTTCCCTCTCCATTGGCTCTTTACAGACGTCAGCTGATCCCCACCAGAGCCCCCTTCCCCCAGGTCTCTGGGGATCTGGCAATTTCTCCTCCATCTTGATTTAGGTAGAGAAAAATCCTTTTTCTTTGGAACTTAGAGATTGGCAGCGTAGTAGGGCCACTACAGTCTCTAGCTCTCCCTGTAATTCCAGCACTTTGGGAAGCTGAGGCAGGTGGATTGCTTGAGGTCAGGGGTTCAAGACTAGCCTGACCAACATGGCGAAACCCCGTCTCTACTAAAAATACAAAATGTTAGCCGAGCATGGTGGTACATGCCTGTAGTGCCAGCTACTCGGGAGGCTGAGGAAGGAGAATTGCTTGAACCCAGGAGGTGGAGGTTGCAATGAGCCAAGATCACGCCACTGCACTCCAGCCTGGGTGACAGAATGAGACTCCGTCTCAAAAAAAAAAAGAAAGAAAGAAAGATAAAATGTCCCCAGAAGCCATGTGACTCGCCCAGGCCTCTCAGGTTGGCGGTGACAGCACTAGACTAGAGCCAGCTCTCCTGACTGTGTCTTCCACCCTCACCGCACCACAGCTGAGATCAAGTTTCCCGTTGAGAGTTCCCGTTGAGATCAGAGTTCCTGCTGAAATTCTGTAAGCCTGGGAGCACGATGAGCGAGCCAGGCCCTGGCTGACAGCTCCCTCCTTTCAGACCTGCCTGTGGATGCTGTTGGCTCTGGAAGGGTTCATCACCTCAGGGGCTCAGGGTCATGCGGTTATTAGAATAATATTAAAGTTTTAAATATTTTTTGTCATTTTATTAACTTCATAATAAAATATTAGAATGTATAGGTTAACAAATAGAAGAGACTAAAAACTTACTTGTAATTCCAACATTACCCAAAGTTAACCAGTGTTAACATTTAGCTGTATTTCCTTTCAGTTGTTTTTTCCTTTGTATGTGTGTGTGTGCATATGTGTGAGTATATGTGTGAGGCCTGAGTGTGCATCCATACTGTACACATACACATATATAGCTCAAGTTTTAAAACAGAATCATACTATTTGGTTACCTCATTTTTAACTGGGCAGTTTAGCATAATTTGCTAGGCAGCAAGTAGTTTGCTTCATACACCTATGATGTCCACAGTTTACCCAGTTCACTATTTTTTAAATTTTATGTATTTATTTTAATGGTTTTTCTCTGAGGCAGTCTCCCTCTGTTGCCCAGGCTAGAGTGCAGTGATGCAGTCTCGGCTCACTGCAGCCTCAACCTCCTGGGCTCAGGCCATCCTCCCACCTTAGCCTTCCAAGTAGCTGGGACTACATGCACATGCCACCACGCCCGGCTGATCTCAAACTCCTGGGCCCAAGTGATCTTCCTGCCTTGGCCTCCCAAAGTGCTGGGATTACAGGCGTGAGTCACCATCATGCCCCGCAAATGTTATTTTTAATTGCCAAATAATAAATGTTACATTGATGGGGTACAATGTAATGTTTTGATATTTGTACACATTGTAGAATATTTAAATCAACCTAGTTAACATATCCATTACCTCACAGACTTCTCATTTCTTTGGTGATGTGAGCATTTAAAATCTCTTGGCAATTTTGAAATAACATTACATCATTATTAACTGTAGTCACTACACTGCAATAGATCTCAAAAACATATTCCCTCTAACAAAAGCTTTGTATACTTTGACCAATGTCTTCCCGTCCCCCAACAACCAGTCCACTAATAATGTGCATTTAGGGTATTTCAGGTTTTCTTTTTTTTTTTTTTTTTTTTTTGGAGACAGAGTCTCACTCTGTCGCCTAGGCTGGAGTGCAGTGGCATGATTTTGGCTCACTGCAACCTCTGCCTCCTGGGTTCAAGCGATTCTCCTGCGTCAGCCTCTCGAGTAGCTGGGACTACAGGCACATGCTGCCATGCCCGGCTAATTTTTTTTTGTATTTTAGTAGAGACCATGTTGCCCAGGCTGGACTCGAACTCCTGAGCTCAGGCAATCCACCTGCCTCAGCCTCCCAAAGTGCTAGGAATTCAGGCATGAGCCACTGCATCCGGCCTGGTTTTTTTGTTTTTTTTTGTTTTTTTTTAATGAGACGAAGTTTGACTCCTGTTGCCCATGCTGGAGTACAATGGCACAATCTCAGCTCACTGCAGCCTCCACCTCCCAGGTTCAAGTGATTCTCCTGCCTCAGCCTCCCAAGTAGCTGGGATTGCGGGTATGTGCCACCATGCCCGGCTCATTTTGTATTTTTAGGAGAGACAGGGGTTTTCCATGTTGGTCAGGCTGGTCTCAAACTCCCAACTTCAGGCCCACCTTAGCCTCCCAAAGTGCTGGGATTACAGGCATGAGCCACTGCAATCGGTGCGCCCGGCCTATTTCAGGTTTTCTATTGTGATTTAAACTGCTATGATAAAATTCCTACATTGAAATCTTTCTGCCAGCCGAGCATGATGGCTCATGCCTGTAATCCCGGCACTTTGGGAGGCCAAGGCGGGCAGATCGCTTGAGCTCAGGAGTTTAAGAGCAGCCTGGGCAACATAGTAAGACCCCATCTCAACAAAAATACAAAAATTAGCTGGGTGTGGTGGCGTGCGCCTATAGTCCCACCTACTCAGGAGGCTGAGGTGGAAGGATCCCTTGAGCCCAGAAGGTTGAGGCTACAGTGAGCCGAGATCACACCACTGCACTCCAGCCTGGGTGACAGAGACCGTATCTCAAAATAAGCAAGTAAATAAATAAATATTTCTGCCAAGTCATTGAAATTGTATCTTTGAGTCAAAGGTATAGGGGCATTAAATGGTAAATGAATCAGTGCTTGACAGTAGTACACTTCCACCTTGTCTAAGCTCGGTTCAGTCATATCAGTCATGGACCCACAGGTTAGGGCCATGACAGTGTGGTCCTCCCCACTCCTGCGGGTGGCCTCTTGCCCAGCCCGTAGTGGAGATTTCTAGAGGAATGATTCTGGGCTCTGCAAGGTGCCTTTCTCCATTCATCTCTTCCTTCCCAACCACAGATCTCTGACCCATCTCAAGAAGAGATGGAAATGACCAAGACCCTGGGGGGAATATAGATTTCATTAAACATCAGGGAGTAGGGTATAGGCAGAGATACCAAGGAACCAATAAAAATGTCCCCAGGGGTTGACAAGCAGCCAGTTGTACCAAGAAACAGTGGCTGAAGATGGAGAAGATGCAGAGGGATCCATAAGGTAAAGAGGGCTCAGGGGAGCCACAAGGAAATAAGGAACAGAGACCATGGTGCACTTACAGGAGATGGAGAATAACCAAGGGGTCCAGGGTACAGGTGGAAGAACAATAAAACAGTACATGAGTCAGATGCTGGGTAACAGCGAGGCCAAGAAACAGTTGCTGAGGCTGGAGAAGTGTAGTGATCCTTCTCAGGGAAGAGCCTTCCTCAGGGAAGAGCCGAGGGTTAAAGAACAGTGAGAAGGATCATGAAATAGGAGGAGGTGCCAGGAAATAGAGGAACCAGATAGCAGCCAGATGGAGCAGTCAGTATCCAGAGGGGTGAGGAAGCAGAAGAATCCGATAAAATGGAAAAGGCAAATATATCCCAGGAACTGGGTATGAGCCTGAGGGATAAGCAAATTCCCGGGGAACCAGAAAGCAGTTCCTTGGTTTAGAGGAGAACTTGAGGGTAAAGGCAAAAGACAAGAGATACCAGGGAACAAGAAATGGGAAATATGACCTAGAGAATGGATTGCAGTCAGAGGGACCAGGAGACAATTGCTGAGGCTACAGAATGGGCAGAGGGATCTGGGAAGGGACAGAGCCCATGGAACAGGTAGAAAGATGAGAGAAGAGCCTCTGAAGCTGCGGAATGGCCTAGAGTACTGGGGAACACCTGGAGCAAGGGACGGTCACTGAGGCTGGGGTCAGCCAGAGGGAGCAGTCAAAATATGCTTAGGGCTGAGGGTCCACCAGAGGCCCCAGGAAGTAACGAGAGGAACTAGGGGAGAGGTCAAGTGAGCATTAAACTTATATCCGGTGTGGGGTAGCAGGATTGACCAGGGGCCAGCTAGAGAGACTAGAGGAGAGCCAGAAGGAATAGTATAATAAGAGAGGTAACAGCCCGAGTGCCCGTGCAGTAGTTACTGGGGTGAAGTTACAGTTGGAGAGGCTGCAAAACAGCCAGAGTTCCCAGGACCATCCTGGTTTGCCTGTGACTGAGAGGACATGGGACTTGCAGTGCTAAAACAGGAACATTCCTGGGCAAACTGAGACACTTGGTCACCCTACCCAGGAAGCAACCAGTGGAACCAGCCAATAGACATAATTTGAGTAATGGAGGGAGTGGAAGTACAGAATCCAGCCGTGGCATAGAACACACAGTAGTGCACTTTAGTGGGTAAAGGTGTAAGCTAAGGAGCCAGCTAGTTAGGTACTACTCAAAGTGTGGTCCATGGATCAGATGCATGAGCATCACTGGAGAGCACAATAAAAATGTATTCAACAGCCAGACATGGTAGCTTGCACCTGTAATCCCAACACTGGGAGGCTGAAGCGGGAAGAGTGTTTGAGGCCAGGAATTCAAGAGCAGCCTGGGCAACATGGCAAAATCCTGTCAAAAAAAAAAAAAAAATTATCTGGGTAGAGTGGTACTGA